TCTTTTGTTAAAAATTTTCTCTTTTTGTACCTTTATAATTCTTTTTATCCAATTTTTACGAATTTTGTTTTAAACAGTCCTAATCTGGAAAGATTAGTTTTCCTCAGTCTCTGCAAACTTTTTAGTGGTCAGATTTTTAAGTAGGTATCCTTAGAAAATCTTTTCAAAATTTTTTAGCATTTTTATGCATTTTTACAGTAGCTTATATATTATAAGGCATTAATCTTTTCCACAAATTCATTATCTTTTTTAACAAGATTAAAATCTGTTATCAAAATCTGTTATTAATTTCTCAATTACGTAAACTCACCCGCAAAATTATTCTTCAAAATGTTTTTTAAGCATTTAAACCATCTTAACACATCTTTTTGATTAAAAAAATTAAACCATCTAAACACATCGTTGTGAATAAAAGAATTTAATTATCTAAACACAGCGTTCATAGATGTCCGTGTTTTACGGAACCGCTAAACAACTGTACCGTGTTTTTTAGATTTTTTTTTAGTTAGCATAATGATGACGTGTTTAGCTGGAAAGCTTTTCTGACTTTGATATCAACATAAATTTTTTTTAGAATTTAAATAGTTAAACTCTATTACTGTTACTTTATTACGTTTATTATTTTACTATTGTTAACATTATTAAGTTTATTAATGTCAAAGATATGCTTTTCTTTTTTTATATACTATTCTTTCTTTTAAGTTTTTAATTTATCTATGCACCTTCCAAAATCATTGAAAAAATTTTTGTAGCAAGGTGTCTATTTTTGTCACACTTTTAGTACTTAATTTTCATCCGTCCGAAATGGTCGCGGGATACAGTGGGGTTAATTAAACATTTTTAGATTTGATTTAGATTAAATAAAACTTTTATTAAAAAATGGAAAATAATGGTAAAGTTAAATTTTTTCAATATTATTTCCTATTTTTATTAAAGTTTTGAAATGAAATTATTAGATAGTAAGATGTGTTTTATACTTCTTTGTTGTTGTACTTTAAATAAATAATCAGATATTGAAAAACTTATTTGATATTAGAGTTTGTTAAAAGATTGACTCATTTAACATGATTTTTACATTCACCTACCATATTTAGTGGTTGTCCGGTATTAATTTATTTAAGCTTTTTTACACAGAAAAAAACTTGGTTTTGGGATTTTAGAAAACAGTAGTTGTGTTGTTTATCTTTTTTTTTTTAAGGGTAGAGAGTGGCATATGTTTACAATGACATATGGCCCCTGCCATATGTCATTGTAAACAGCACTTGTGTGCGTAAATTCTTGTATAACATAATTTTATATTGTATACTAATTGAATCCATTTTAGTAAAGATAAAAACATTTAAGAAAATAAGTCGTTTTTGATATTTACGTGTACCAAATCATCACTACCACACCCACCTCTATTATTAACACACACCCATCGTATGCTTTGATAGCTTAATATAAATTTATAAAAACGTTTTTGTATATTTAAATTATTTATGTCTTAAAAAACTATTTTTTTCTAAAAAAAATGTTCAATTACTTATATTAAGGGTGATGGTTTATTGTCCCCTCTTTCCCCTTGGATACGCTCAGTGATTTGAGCCCAAATTTGTAGCCCACTCTTACACCTATCTTTTGATATCAAGGTATTTTGATATCAAGTATTACTTCAATCAGGACTAACAAAGTTATGACTATTTAAGCAAATAAAAAATTAATTTTCACCTCAGTTTCTTCAACAAATCCATATATTAAAAATTCGGTATTTAAACCGTCATAACTTTTGAATTATTAGATATTTATAATTTTTTCATCTTTAAAATACTGTATTGATCCTCTTTCCAACCATATAAAACAGTATAATATTTAAAAAATATGATGTTTTTACTCACGTACCTAATTCTATTAATTTATATTTTAGAAGAACTAAAATTTTTGTAAGATTTTGGTAATTTGTTAATAATACTTCTCCTTTTTATTTTTTCGAAAATAGTAATTTTTAATACCTGTCATTTTTTTAAAAAAAAAAATAATGGTTTTGAACGGTTTTCACAAAAATCTGCAAATAATGGCGAGTATTCATTAACAAAAGTTATCAAGAGCATGTAAAATATGTGGAAATTTTTTAGGAAAAGAAAGTTTAAAAACTGACAGTAAAATTGTTCAAATATATAAATATATGGAATAAATATATCAAAGATTCTCAGGGTATTTACCTAGAAAAAAATAGTATGAATGTGTTATACTACTCTTCGAAATATCAAAAATAGAGGTATCGACGTTTTCAAAGATTCAAATAATTGGGTAAAATGTCTAACAAACAAATGCAAATCTTCTTGAAACTTTTTATTAAGTTAGAAGATGAATGTCATTTAATTAATATAAAACTTACTGGAGAACTTCCATTAAGATGTAACTAACTCGTCGGCCCAACGTCGGGCCAACGTGTGCTAGTTTTCTCGTGTTAATTTTTAAACTACTGAACAGTTATTGTTCCGTCAATTAAATTAATTAGCTTGTTATTATCCAATTACTTTTTTTTTATTATTATTATTATTACTTTTATTTTTTTGTTGCAAAAACTTACCTCTATACTTAATAAAAATGTACATAAGTAAAATATTTAAACATAGTATTTATGGCTAGAGTAAATACTATGTTTAATATAGTTGGTAAAAAAATGCTACTTATGGTCTGCATTTTTAGTCAAAACTGTAACAGAAAAATTTTTGGTAAATAGTTGGTAAAAAAATGCTACTTATGGTCTGCATTTTTAGTCAAAACTGTAACAGAAAAATTTTTGGCAAACTTTTGATTAAAATATTTAATTTATTACTTTTTTTTTTTATTACGTTTTTATTACGTTTAGATATAGTTTTTTGTAGTTGTTTTTTTTTTACGTTTTTTTATTATTATTTTTTTTAAACGTTTTTTTACGTTTAAAATTACTCAACTTCCAAAAAATTTTATCATTGTATATAGTATTATATTTGAAGCCCAATATTTATAATACCAGAATTTATGAATTGGTTTGACTTATTTTGATATTTTTTAACTTATTTATAGCTTTAACCATTGCTTTAATAATGCAACTCAATTTCTAAGCTAGTTATAGACCTTGAATTTATAGATACTAGTGTTTACTTAATATCTATCGATGTGAGCCAGAAATTTCAAAAGTTTTAAATATCTAGCTCACATCTAACATTTTTGATTTTACTCTTGCAGCATGCTCTGTGCATCACTCTGTGCATCACTCTGTGTATTACTCTGTGCATCAGTAAACTACTTGTTTTTATAATTTAATATTATTGATTATTATTTTGTCATCATCATGAATACAGGTGTTTATGGTGAAACATGGAGACTAGGTTTTAAATTTTACAAATCTTAATAGGTTATTCCTGCATATGGGTTGTAGTCAGCTTGAACGCATTATTAAAGAATATTTTATAAAAAGTCACCCTAAAGCAAAAGATATTAACCCTGATAAAAAAATATTTATAACAATTTTATAGAAGTTTTTTACAAAGTCTTTTTTGTAGAAGAACTTTGAAATTAGATTATTATAAATTTTTTAAAAAAATAAATGATAAACAATATCGAAGTTTCTTTTTTCACTTTCATTTTGAGACCTTTTTGATTTTAACCCTTAAGCAATGTAATAATGTTATAAGTTAATATTAGGGGACATTTTAATATTGAGTTAGAATGTCTTTATAACTCAAAGGCCTAATATATATTTTTATAACTTATTAGGAATATGGTCTTTTGATTAAAAAAATCAAAATTTAATTTTTATACGATGCTAGAATTTAGATTACAATTTATTTATTTTTTGTATGGTATTTTATATTTCAAACTGTTGCAAACTGAGCTTAAAATGTTGCTAAATCATAAGAATAGTTTGTGTTTTATTATAAAATACCTCCGCTCTGCTCTAACCTATATATAAAATACATCCTATATATTATTAAATTGATAACTACTGCTATATTCAAAATTAAACTAAAAATGAATCACATAGTTCACACAAAAAATATTTTGAAACTATTTTGCAACATTTTGATGAGCTGGCTTATTTATTAGCAATATGCCGATGTAGAGCAAACTTAAATATGCCATATTTATCATATTTATTGTTGTAAAATGACTTTTGTGGGGCGCGTCTCCGCAAAAGTCGTTTTACAACAATTCCATTTTACTGAAATCAATACTATTCAAAAAATGAAATTAATATTATTCAAAAAGTTTAATTCCATATATTTTTAAAACCAGATTCAAAAAGATGATAAAAAATACTGTCTAAAAAAAATAAACTTTTTATAAAAAAGCAAATTAACAATAGTTCAAGATAAATCTTTTGTCGTTGTATCACTTAATAAAATACGCAAATTTTGATTTTTCGCAAACTAATTGATGCAATTTAGAATTTTTGAATTGTATTTTGGTATTTATAAAATTAATTTTTTTTTTACAAAAATATAGCACAAAAATTTAAAACATTTTATCAAAAAAATACTTAAAAAAATATTTTTTAGCTGAGATACAAGACTTCAGGCATAGCTGTACCGTTATGTCCCACTGTTCCTATATGCCCCGCTCTACCCTATCTTGGTTTTAAAAAACGACAAGTAAAAATGAATAACTTATAATTTTTCCTTACAAAATCTAGAGTAAAGTATATTTTGCTTTTTATCCAAAAAAAATTTATTCGCAAAATATTCTTTAAATAATTGAGTTGATGCTGTACTTTCTTTACCTAAAAACCTAATTATTTCTTTATTTAACGAAGAGTTTTGCAGTTATATAATTTGATTGCGAAGACTACTTACATTTTTAAATAGGAAACCAATCACTAAAGTTTTTAGCTTTTACAGAAAAATTCCTATGCTTCAATCACGTTGTAAATAAAAAAATTTGTTAAAATTACTCATTTAAAATGAGTTTGAAATTTATATGAAACTAACAAGTTAAGATTATTTTTAAAACACATAAAATTATTACATAAAAAATCTTAGTATGAAGATTCTGATTATAGTAATATGATAAAATGTAAAACATAAATATACAAGAAAAAAACAACTAATGCTATATTTTCTCTCTTTAAACACTTGATGCGTCTATGCTGTTTTTTTCCTTCTTTTTAATCATTTTTCTTTTAAACAAAAATTAAAAATTATAATACTTAACAAATGTTTATTCAAATTTTTCCGCAAATATAGTTTCTTCAAAATTGTGTTTTTATATATTTCAATTTATTTTAGGAATTTTATAAACACGACCACGAACCCAAGTATTTATTCAAAGAAAATATTTTCCACTAATTTGATTCTCATTATAACGTATCAATCTATGCGAGGAAAAAAAATTGAACATTTGTTTTGTTTTTTTAAAATATCGATGCCAAATATCGATTGTCAACTGGATTTGATATAGTTCCGTTTGGAAAAGTAACACCCAAAGAAAATGAAGAAGCAAACGGATTATTCTCATAGTTTTGCGGATTAGTTATCAACATTTCTAAAAACTTTTTTTCGTTTTCTGCTATATATATACCAGACGTTTTACCTCTAAAAAAAATACAATTTGATGGAACTTTATTTTTTTTTTCACAGCAAAAAGTTTAAACATAAGTAGCATAATAGTAGTATTAGTAATTATAAGTAATGGTGTGCTAGATAATGATGCTTGAAAAAATCAACAAGTGTATTGTCATGTATGACAGCAGTTATGGTGATTGCTATGACAGCAGTTATGGTGATTGCAACTATGACAGCAGTTATGGTGATTGCAACTATGACAGCAGTTATGGTGATTGCTACTCAGACAGCAATCAAGAGCGTCTTATCATTTAATTTTAGTTCTTCATCTTCAATCGAAAGTAAAATTTATACATTTGCAATTCTGTTTGAAAAGAAATGCTGCCTCGAAGAATACGTTAAAAAAATATATATAATTAAGCTAATAAATTATTATCTTCATAATCTTATTTCATTATTGGCAAAAAAACAAACTAAATAAAATTACTCACGGAGCGCTAAGATAGACCCGCCTGTCTTGCTTACCAACCGTTGAAATAAATAATGAGCAGTAATAATTGCAAGCAATTATAAAATAATAGATTCCAGTCTCCGGTGGTATAAAGTATGCAAAAGCTTGACCACCCCTATTGCTATTTATATTACCTGCGTCGTTGAATGTTAACAAGCACAAAGAGTTTGCTGGTGGCTGTTTAAAACTTGTTTCTTTCATAAAACCTTGAACTTGGGGTCCGTAACCATACCCTCTATTGTATCGTAGCAACACAACTTTAATTTCTATATACGAAAAACTAAGAAGATACAAATCAATAGCAGCATTAATTCAATAAAGCTATATATATATATATATATATATATATATATATATATATATATATATATATATATATATATATATATATATTATATATATTTATATTTATATAAACAATCGAATTACACTGTATACCAAGCAACAGTATGTTCTAATAAATCTGAATACAAAGACAAAGTCTATATTGGCTCAGACAGGCCAGAAATTAAACTTTTAGGTTTAATTTTGGAATATCCTAAATATGTTTAAAGATTCTTTTTAAGAAACTTTCGGGTCACATAAAACTATAAAAATTAAAATCCTGTAGGTGGCATATTTTCATAATTAGCATTTAAAAGGTGCAAATTTATGAAGTTCTCAGGTTCAAATGCAGAAACTTCCAAAAACGCAGTAAACCTTAAATTAGTAAATACTAATACTAACATCAAATGATGATGTTCTGCAAAAAAAAATTAATATTGGGAACATAAAAAATACAGTAGTATATATAATAAACCTTAATAAATATTTCCATAATATAAATATTGTTGTCAAATTTTGATAATACGGGAGAGAAAAAGATTTTTCAGCTTAACTTTAAAAAGATGCAAAGAAGTAGGTAGATCAAAATTAAAATTAGGCAAAAAATTTTGTTCCAAAGATGGGGTGCACGATAATCAATGCAAAATTGGTTAAAACTTGTTCGACAAAAAGGCTCATATAGAAGGTTGTTATTTCTTAGAGAGTATTTATTGGTAGGTTTCAAAATAATTAAATCATTAAAAACGACAGGAGAAAGATTGTTTTTACATATATATACAAAGAATAAAATATTAAAAATATTAAGTTTGTAAATATTAAGTATTCTCATTTCAGAAAAAAGATGTTTAGAGTGAGAAAAACGATCAGCAAAATTAATTACACGTATTGCATGTTTCTGACGGCGATAGAGAGATTGTAACTTACTTTTTTCAGTGCTTGCCCAAGCAATATTTGCATAATTCATATAGCTATGAATGAATGCATAATAAAGTTGGGATAAAACTTTTTTATTTATATAGATTCTGGCCTTATAAAGAATTTTAATATTTTTTGAAACTTTATTGATGTTTTCCTCTTGGAAATTTATACTATCTTTAATGTCGCCAGTATCTTTTTCTAGTATTTTAACTCGGGACTTATTAAAACTAAGTTCTTTTTCAAGGTTATCTATTCTGTCTGATATTATTTTTATGTTGGAACTTTTGTAAAAGTTTCTTCTTGTTTTTTTAATAGTTTTTCAGTTTCTTTTAAAATGTTTTGCTTCTGATATTCAAGCTTAGATATTATTTCTCAATATTTTTCATTGATAGATCCATCTTCGCACAATTAAAAACAATAACGACTCACTCAATAATCACCTTTCAAATCCGGCAAACAACTTTAAAAGCAACTTTCACTTATACAAATTTAAAAGAAAAAAAAACATATTTTCTAAAAAAAATAAAAAGACAACAACAAACTTTCAATTTCCAAATCTTTCAAGTTTTAAACTTTAAGGTCGCAACACTGCAACAACTTCCAAAATAACTTTTAAACCTAACATCAACAAAGAAAAATTTCAACTTTCAACACAAAACTTTTAACAACAATATAACAAAAAGCAAAACAACTTTCAACAACAAACAAACTTTTAGCAAAACTACTTTCAAATAAACAAGCAAGTTTTTGAATAAATAATAAAAATACAGCAAAACCTTTCTTCTTTCTTTCTTTAATCAAAAATTACTTTTATGAATATTTTATTTTAAAATCTCTTTAACGGCTGGCAAAAATAACGTCTCTTCAATAGTATGCGGTATTCCGGATTTTGCTATAAAAAGCGAAATGTTATAAGACGTCTGCAAACCATCATCGTTTCTTTGTGATGTAAAAGCGAACATTCTGTCCAGCGTGGGTCTATTCTGAAATTTACCTTTAAGTGTTTGAAAGTATTTCAAATCTTTATCTTTTTTATCTAGGTAACATCTTTTCACATGGTTCTTCAGCTTAGATGGTTTCTTAGCGTCATTGCCCAAAATTTTGTTGCATAAAAGAGACATAAGCAATTGTTTGTCCTTCAATGCAGCCCTGGTACAGTGGTTACAGTTCTGGCTTAGAACTGTAACAACTGTAACCACTGTGCCAGGGCTGCATTGAAGGACAAACAATTGCTTATGTCTCTTTTATGCAACAAAATTTTGGGCAATGACGCTAAGAAACCATCTAAGCTGAAGGACCATGTGAAAAGATGTTACCTTGATAAAAAAGATAAAGATTTGAAATACTTTCAAACACTTAAAGGTAAATTTCAGAATAGACCCACGCTGGACAGAATGTTCGCTTTTACATCACAAAGAAACGATGATGGTTTGCAGACGTCTTATAACATTTCGCTTTTTATAGCAAAATCCGGAATACCGCATACTATTGAAGAGACGTTATTTTTGCCAGCCGTTAAAGAGATTTTAAAAACTGTTTTACACAAACCTGAATCTGATATCATTTAAAGAAGAAAATGACGAACACTTTCATCAGATAATTCTTCGCAGTAAAGTACGCAGGCTGTCAAAATGCTTATGTTTAACAAGATTCATTGGACTTTTTGAGACTATTTTAGAATTTTTGAATACTAAAGATAAAATTTAAAAGACAATTTAAGGTGGTACTTGGGTGAAAAACAAGTAAAAATTGAAAATTTCAAAGTGAATGTTTTTAAGTAAACTGAGCTATGCAGAAAACGCCTATGTAATTTGTTTCATTTAAAATAATTCAGATGATACCTAACTATCCATTTTAAAAAAGGCACTCTTAAACTACAAACTCAACTTTCGTAGCAACACCCATAGCAACCAATTTTGATTTACTGAAAGCCTTTATGGTTATGGTTGACATCAGACCTCAAACTCATAAACATTTTATTGGGAATTTTGGTATTTAAATTACCTGAACAACTGCAATTTGTTCTTTAAATTATCTTTTTTTTTTAACCCATTTTTTAAAAACTTAAAAATTTTTTTAGACTCACGGTGGAAAATACTGTTGTTCCTGGTTTGACGGGAAAGCTGAAATCCGATCTCAGAAGTTTAGAGACCTAGATAACTGTTTCCGTAAGTATGCTAATGCAGGCTTTCTTAAGAAACAAATAATGAGTTTTAAGTTTATTAGTTGTTCTATAGTTGTAATCTAATGAAGAGCTTTTTAAACTTAATGTTGTGTTCAAAGGAAGATGATCTGGAGAAGCTAGTCATAAGTGTCATACCTTTACAAGAAACTTACCTTCTCATGATTTGGTAATCCACATTTCTTATTATATTATATCTCTCTGGGCAGGTTTGAAAAAATGGGTTAATAGCCTTAGTGTTATACGCAAAAGTTATCACGGAGGTACATATGGTAATGTTTCAAGAGCAAGATTGAAAAATGTAAACTGTCTTGCGTTAGTACTTTTGATAGAGCTGTTTCCTTAAATTGATACATTAAGGAGGTTTGACAGAGTTGTGACAGGTACATTTAGTGAACCACTAGATCTACAGTATCACAAACCTAACCTTAGACTTTAAAGAAAGTTTTGAACATTCTCAAAAATATAGTTCAGTAGTAAGTATAAAATAAAATTATGTTTGATAATTTCTTTTAACACGGTAATAGAAGTAAACGAATTGCTGAAACTTGATCCACCATGAACATGTAGTTATTGAGATATATGTTATTAAATGCGGAGAACGAAAAACCCTCAAAATTTGAAGTCACCTGCCGTGATTGAGAGGGGGACATACGCATTAAAACAATACTTTGTTTTCCATATCGTAAACTAAATTGAAATTTGTTAAAAACTTTTAAGTTTCTTAAAAAAATCTTATGTACTTTAGAAGATATGGTTGTGTAAAATTTAAAGCCTCTTCTTTTTTTCCCAAAGGAAGAGGGGAATAAAACGTTTTAAGGTCATAACTTTTAAACTGCAATATATAATTTTTTTAAATTATATATTACAGTTTAAAAAAATATCTTATGCAATCTTCAATTTTTCATGAAAGGAGGGAAGGGGGGGAGTAAAATGTTTTTTAGTCATAACTTTTGAGCTGTAATATATTTACTTTTTAATAAAACTATACCAAATAGCCCTACAACTAGTCAATTACTTCACATTGCCTCCACAGTATTTGTAATTCTAGAGTTTGTGCAAAAATGATTTATTGATTTAAAATTTATTAAACTATTAACATATCACAAAATTTAATAAATAATTGCTTGGTTAAAGTCTAAATTGTATTTGAGGATGTTGTGTCGAAGACCATGTCTAAGATGTTTTTGTCTTATTTCCAATCTAAAAGTAGATTTTTTGTTGCAACAGGGACAACGAAACCATGTTTCAGATCAAATTTTGTAGTTGAACTTGGAAGAGGTGGTACATTATGAAGTTTAGTTCCATTGACTCTGGATACTAAACCAGGTAGACAATCTTTGGTGTCTTTGAAGTCCAGCGTAGTCAACAGTTTTATGTCCCAATGCAGAACCATTTTTGGAGACGGATTCCATTTGTCTTTTATTGGCTGATATAGCACAGCACCGATTCTCAATATTGTTAGGCTAGAAGTTAGATTTATCTTTCAAACATCTCCTCCGCAGACAGATATCATCGAATATACAAATGAATTCAACTTAGTATTACTTACTTTCAAGACAATAACATTTGAATTCTTGAAAATATCATGTGAAACAAATGTCTTTATTAGATTTAATTCATCTTTTGTGGGGCCTTTAAATTTTAAAGCAGGTTAACTCAAATTCAACAGTTCCTTTGAACATTATCAAATGGTTTTTTTACGGTAAAGCAACATCATAGGTTCTTTTCTTCTTTTCAATATAACCTTTGCATGGAATTTGTCAATTCTTGAATAAGTTGATATCCTGTCAGTTATCATGCTTTGTCTGAAAGCAATGTATGCATTGATTTATTTTTTTTTCTTTGATGTTTTATGTAGTTTTTGAGCATTTAAATCTCGGAGAATTTCTTTTAAAAATTCATTGGAGCACTTATATATATATATATATATATATATATATATATATATATATATATATATATATATATATATATATATATATATATATATATATATATATATATATATATATATGTATGTATATAAAGAGAGAGAGAGAAAGAGAGAGGTAGTTCACTTTTTGTTTTTTAAATAATTTTGGTTAATGGGTAATCCTCTCCTTATACCTGCGTGCGTAATCACGTACAACAAACTAGGTTTTAAAACCTGGGTTCCTCCATTAAAAAAAACACATGTCTTACAATGGTTCTATGTAGGTTTCATGTAGGATTTATGGGAATCCACATAAAATCCATGTGGGTCATGCGTTTTTTTTTCACTGGGTAGACCTCGTAATACTTTTACGATCCAAGGTTTAAAGCGAGCTCGGAGTATATTTTCCACCATCGGTAAGGAAGAGAACGCGAACTTCCTAGTTAAATTCTCTTAAGCTGTGTTCATTAAAAGATCATTAGTTCTTTTAAAATGCACCTAAAAAAAAATTTGAATAAAAAAAAATATATATGGAAGCTTCTTTAACCTCTGAACTTTGTAGCCGACAAATTTCAACCCAAACTAAACTCAAAAGTTTATTGCTAAAATGTATATATACATTACGTTGCTCTATCTTTTTCTTTTACTTCTAACTCAATTATTTAAATTCTGAATTCTTTCTCTACTTTCTATCTCCTTCTGAATTCTTTCTCTACTGTCTATCTACTTCTAGTCTATCTCCTTTTTTTTTCTGAAGTTTTTAGGTTTGATTTTTTTTTTAATTATACTCATTTATCTTTTAAACAATGTTAAAAATTGCACTCTAATCTAGTTGAATCTATTCTAGCTGCTTAGTTTAATCCAATGTCATTTTTTTCTCGCAGTTATTTTTTATTCCAGCTTAACCTCATTTTTTGCAACTGTTCCTTATACCCATGTATATCAAAATACTCATGTTATAAATTTCTACTAATGACGCAATTGCATTTAAAGTGAGCAAATTAGAGGTTTTTTTAAAAAAAAATACTCTACCTCGTTCACAAAAAGTTCCATCAAAGTTTGTAGAAACACATTTGCAAGTACTGCTGTCGTCATTATAGTTTGGTATACATGTTGAATTGTTCAAACATAAACCTTTTTCACAACCGGCATTCTACAATAACAAAAGAATTTATTTAGCCATATTCAGGTTTTTTTCATATTTAAATGTGTATTTTTTATACATATATAATTTCTATAATTTGAGGTATTAATTTGTTATACAAGTTTGGGCCACAGTGTACAAGTTTGGGCCACAGTTTACAAGTTTGGGCCATAGTATACAAGTTTGGGCCACAGTATACAAGTAAAAATGTTTCAAATATTAAATGAAAGGCAGTATGAAGTTTCAAGCTCATCGTGTGATAAATCTGTTGGTATTGATTTGAAAAAGTTATTAGTAACATAAGTTGAGACAAGCCTGAGCTTATATTTAGGAATATACAATTTGATTACAAGTTACCTATCAATTACATTGATAGGTAAGTTGTAATCAAAAGAAATTTTGATTGCAACTTAACTATTTGTATTAAGTTGTAATTATGTGTGTATTAAGTGTGAATTAAGTTGTAATTGTATTTAATTTTTTACAAAAAGAAATTTGTTTTCTGTTGCAATTTTCAAAAGGGTTTCAGGAAATGTAATTAATCGGCCAATTTACAAAGATTAAAAAGACTTGTGACCATTTTTAGTAAGCAATAACCTTGTTTACTTGATCGAAAATGGGCAACTATATGATTCATGAACAAAGAACCCGCAAGATTAGAGTTCTGAAAAGAGTTTCTGTCGGATTTATTTTTAGGAAATTTACAATATGGTGAATGGTCAGATCCTAATTAACTTGTTTATTTGAACCATAAAATTTCTGTAATATGTTTTTGCTTTCAATTGTTCTCAGTTCTAAAAGTCAAGCTCACAATTGAAGGAAATAGCAATTGGAAAAATATGTCTAGTATTCGAGCTGATCATGAGTTATCTATGAAGCACATTCATTCCGTCGGGGCTTGGTTTGAGCTGGATTGATCTGATTGAACTGAATTGTTTAAAGGAACAAAAGAAAATTGACAAGGTAATAGAAAATTAGTCCAAACAATGAGCTGGCATTTGAACCATATTTTTAAAATTTAGTTCCTTACAGAACTAAAATTAGCATTAATTGTTTCATTGAAACAATAGATTTTTTTTGGGAGTCGTTAAGTTTTAAGGAAATTACAATTCATGTCTAGTAGATCATTTTCGGCGTAGAAAAAATATAATTCAAAATCTTTACTTTTTTTTTAAAACACATACATAAACTGGAGACATGTAAACATTTTTTTTGCCATTAATCCATGCATTTGAAAAATATATGAAAGTCCTTTGCATCAATGGGCTGCTAGGGACTGGCTTCTGGTTCTCGTTGAAAATATATATATAATTAAAATAAAACTAATTGTAAAGAAACTTGTTCAGAACCAAGGAAGTCTTTTCATTGGGAATCATTGAAATATAAAATAAGTTAACAATTTAACAAGTAATCTTAGAGAACACACATAAACATTTTGGGATCCATTATACAGTGTAAGATTTAGTTGTTAACTTGTTATTATTACTTGTTATATTACGCAGTGGGTACAAATTGTTCGTGGGACATCCTTTAGACGTCTCATGGGCGACGCATGCCCACCGGGTAGTCATTCTTATTTTATTGTTATCATTATTATTATTATTATTATTATTATTATTATTATTATTATTATTATTATTATTATTATTATTATTATTATTATTATTATTTATCTTTCACGTTATAAACAAGTCAATAAAATTGTTTTCGCTCATTATGAGATTTCTTAATTTTTCCTTTATGACAATAAGGTTATGCAATTTTTTAATTTCTATGATTTGAGGTATTAATTTGGTATACAAGTATGGCCCACAGTATACAAGTAAAAATACTCAGAACATTATATTAAAGGCAATATGAAGTTTCTAGCTCATTGTGTGATAATTCTGCTTGTATTTATTTGAAAAAGTTATTAGTAACATAAGTTGAGACAAGCCTAAGCTTACATTTGAGCATAAATAAAATATTTTGTTAGATGTTAGTTTGATAAATATTCAAGTTTTTATGTAAAGGATTGTCATGAATGATTTAATTTTTATTTTAAAATCAATCTTGATTTGCTTTTTTGGTGTAGATATAGAGAATTTAATTTAAATTTTCTTTGTACTTCCCCATGCAATACTATCATATGTTAGATAAATTTGTATAAAAGAAAATTAGAGAATGTTTAGATTCTTTTAGGAAAATGTTTAACTTTAAAGAGAATGCTTATACCTTTTGATATTTTTGTATTTTTATGAGACTTTTGAAAAATGTTTACTTGATGCTTAAATTATCAATTTTTGGTAATGGTAACATGCTTAAGTATATTATTTGCATGTAGAGATAAAACAAGATGTACTTTGTTTTCTCTGTATTTAAAGAAAATTTATTTACTTTAAACCAGATTTTTAGGTTTTTAAGATCATTGTTTACAGATTTATATAGTTGTTTTAATTGATGACCAAAACAAATTTGTACCATCAGCAAACAGTACTGCATCGAGTTTTTTAAGAATTATGGAAGATCGTTAATATAAAATAAAAACTTATATTAACAAATCGCATTTTATTTCTAGTAAGATTGTGTAATTATTATTGTTAAAAAAAACACATTGTTTTCTGTTGCACAGATAACTGTTAAACAAAAAAAGAGTTTCATTTTTTATTCTGCGTTTTTCAATTTTTTTAAGATCCAACGATTATTTGTGACAAACGCTTTTAATAGATCTATAAAAGTTCCTAAAACAATTTTTTTTAATGAAAAACTGTTTTAAAGAAGTTTGTATTTCTTTTTATCTAAAACTGCTTGATCGGTAGAGTGTTGTGGTTGAAAACCGAATTGTTTTTTAATTGTAAATTTGTTTAAAATTAAATTTTAATATAATCTGTTGCACATTATTTATTTAGAAATTTTAAAAGAAAATAAGAAGTATTGAGCCAAATAATTATTCTGAGAAAAGCTGTTTTCAAAATAAAAACTTTCATAAACTAAAAAAATCTATAATTAAAAAACATCTAAACTGGCCAGAAATATATGATTTACCACCTTTAATATTTTATTCTGTGTCAAAATAACCTTTTTACAATACCAATGAAATATCTATGAAAATAGGGCAAATTTATAAAAAGACATGATTGCTAAGGCCGTTGCTAGGGATTCAAAAATTACTTTGTTGCCTTTGGAAACTAATTTAAGTATTTAATATTGATTTTTAAAGGGAAATAAATTTATAGTCATGATCCAGAATGTTAAAAAACTGTTAAAATTAAATTAAAAAAATTTTTTTGTTTTTGATACTTTTATTAGGGTAGTACCCTAATAAAAGTATCAAAAAAAAGTAACAAAAATGAACAAAGTGACGGCAACAAAGCGCCCCAATGCAACAAAGTGCTCTTAAACAATAATTAATTAACTTAAAAATCAAAAAACATAAAAAACTAGTTTTGTCATCTTCTAAAGTTATTCTGCTTCACTATGCATCCCCACAATCCTCCGTAAAATTGTCTCTGTGTTTTTGTGTGTGTGTGTGTGTGTGTGTGTGAGTGTGTGAGTGTGTGTTAATTCAAAGATAATTCATTATACGATTACAAGTTCTTGAAAAATTTAAAAAAACTTTATCAATCTTATTCGTTCATAAGCAGAACAAAAACTAATATAATGACCAATAATAATAAAAATGATAATATTCTACTAATACTAAAAATATAGTTTCTTTTCGAGCCTGTTTGACACGGAACCCTTGAAACACCATTATATCAACGTTTACCATTATATCAACGTCCTCTGCAAATATTAAATAATCTTTAACTAATAACACCATTTTGTAATCTAAAAAACTGATTAAATCGCCTTTTAAATTTTGAATCAACTAAACATATAATTAATAATAGTTGTTTTTACTTTAACTGTCATCATAAAAATAGAAAATGTTTAAAGTTCAAAAAGATTTTTATTATTTCCTCAGTTATTTTCCAAAACACTTTATTTATATATGTAATCTCTTAGATATATATATATTATCTACTATAGCATATTTATATGCGCAATTGCTCACTTTTTTTGCTAGCCTAAATTAAGTGAGCGTTTTTAGAAAACAATGAGGGAAAACGAAGAATAATGAATGAAAAGGTTGCTGACCCTCAGTCGATGTAGCAGCACTCCACTGCGATTCAGGCTATTTGTCAGTAGATGTATGTACTGAAGCCCCAGGCAGCAGGCCATTTGACATTAGGTGAGTATGACATCATCATGCTAACCTAACTCAGCAGTATAAGATATATAATATCTTAGTTGATCTTAAAGAATTTTTTCACCAGCTTTAACATGGAAATAATGCAAACACTTGTTTTTTTAAGAAAACTAAACGCTTTACAAGAGTCGTATTTTTACAAGAAATTATACTTTTTTGTAATATACCTTTCAAAGAGATTACTTTTGTTTCGTCAAATTGTGGCATTGATGTTTTTAACTTTTAACATATAACAACAAGCGACATTTTTAACATTTTTTTAAATCTTATATGTTTAGTGTGTAAGTGTTGCGGGACGTCCGAAAGTATTTTTAGTTATAAATAAATCCAAATACTTTAAAACTAAATGTTGAAAACCAAACTAAATAAAAAAATAAATCATAGAAAAAAATATTGTTTGGGACGTCCATTGGTGTATTTTGTGACAACCAAAATTTGTTATAAATAAATAATTTAATATATCGCTTTTTTAAAAAAAAAATAAAAATTTAAAAACGTTTGTTATCGTTCAATAAAAAAATATTAGGGGCGTCCAATTTTGGAAGCTTCAAATGTTTCTAATTATGAAAACGTTACTTCTTCAGCTCAAACATCTTCAGCTCCACATAGAAATATATGCCAAGCACTAACATTAACAAATGACATTTTTAATAATGCGTTTAATTTTATTTTACCTGTTCATGATACAAAAATTTAATGATACAAAAAGTAAATACAATCGAAGGTCACCATATTCATTTCTAACATAAAAATTCATGTCTGTCATGCATACTCATATCTAAAATGAATATTCATTTCTAACATGAACAGTGATTAAAAATATATGCATTTTAAACGTTTTTTTGATTTGTTTCTTACAAAATATAAAATATGTTTTTGTAGGACCAAAAAAGAAACACTATTACTATTTTAATATTTTAAGATATTTTATTGTGTGTTAAAATAATCTTAGATATAATAAACATGACATAATAATGAAGCTTTCATATGAATCCAGTTAAGATAAAGATTAGATTTATATTGGTTATGAAAGTCTATGAAAATGCCTGTTAAATATTGCGATGTTTTAAATAAATTACAACACTTTGCGATTGTTGAATGCCAATAGTTGAATGATAAATTGAACTGAATGCATGTTTAGCTGAATTATAATTTTTGAATCCATAAGTATCCATTAATAACTGCAGATTATAAATACTTTTAATGTAGGTTATATTGAATTAGGTTCATCATATTCATTTTTTTGATTTTTTTAATTTTCATATCAAAATAAGTCAGACTGGAAAACAAAATTACAAAATTTTACTAAACGCCTCAAACTATTTCAAACAGCATTTTGAATTTTGCAATTGTAGTGTTTAATTTGGATTCAGCATCTCAAAATAAATATTTTTTCTGATTGGTTTTTTTTTATTGATATTTTGTCTGGCAAAAAATAACTTAACATATTTTAATTAAAAAAAAAAACTTTAAAAGTAAAAAAATAGTGTTAACGAAAAAACAGTTTGTTAAACTCACCAGTATTGTGTAGTGGGTGGAATTTGCTTGAAAAACAAGTTTTTCTTTATTCGTATATGCTTGTTCACCAAGAAGTTGGCATTCAATTTCAATGTTTTCAGAAATGTTACTTAAAACATTAATTGAAAGACACGTTGACAAAGCGTAGCATTTCTGGAGGCAATGCTGTTCATTTTTTGCTGATGTTTTTTGAAGAGCGGAACTGTTTAACAGAGTAAACGGCATTCGATTTGTACTTACATAACTGCTTAATGTTGTAATCGATGACGTCAAAAGTCCCGGTCGGCATAGTTTATTATTTGGACATACAGCAGATAAAACCAAATGTAATGATACAAATATGAGGCATCCACTATATATATATATATATATATATATATATATATATATATATATATATATATATATATATATATATATATATATATATATATATATATATATATATATATATATATATATATATATATATATTATATATATATATATATATATATATATATATATATATATATATATATATATATATATATATATATATATATATATATATATATATATATATATATATATATATATATATATATATATATATATATATGTATGTATATATATATATGTATATATATATATATACATATACATATATACATATATATATATATATGTATATATATACATATATATACATATATATACATATATATATATATATATATATATATATATATATATATATATATATATATATATATATATATATATATATATATATATATATATATATAACTGTTGTTTAAAAGAGCGCGTTAATACGCCTGAAAAGAAAATTTTAAAAAACTTCAAAAACATTTTTTTTTTTTAATTTTAGACTGCCTGCCTAAACCAAACCCTCAATCGATGTAGCAGCGATCCTATGCGAGTCAGGCTATTTGTCAGTCAATGTAGCAGTACTCCCTTGCGAGTCAGGCTATTTGTCAGTCGATGTAGCAACACTCCGTAGCGAGTCAGGCTATAAGATAGTCGATGTAGCAACACTCCCTTGTAGCAGCAGGCTCTAAGATTAAAAAAATTATACAGCAACAGTATAAACGTATATACTTGTATGTATATACATATATATATATATATACATATATATATATATATATATATATATATATATATATATATATATATATATATATATATATATATATATATATATATATATATATATATATATATATATATATATATATATATATATATATATATATATATATATATATATATTAGACAACAACAATATAAACGTATATATATATATATATATATATATATATATATATATATATATATATATATATATATATATATATATATATATATATATATCATACAACCACAATATAAACGCTCCTTTAGTTGAGCACTCTAAACAAAATGTCCAAGATGGAAAAAATAAACTTTAATTACTCAATCAAAAATATACGCATACCATCTGAAAAAGAATTTATGCTGCAGTTTCTGGAGAAAACTGAAGCTCCTATAAAAAGAATGAGATGGAAAGCGTTATTTTTTATTAACAAACAACTCGGTGATACGTCTAAGTTCAATGATTATACTAGCTATGGAGTAAAATTTTCAAAGTGCCCCCCACAAATTAAAGAAATGTCACTATTTGAAAAAGATTTAATAAGTCTCGTTAAAACTATAAAATTTCGGAATCTCAACAACACATTTCAAGAAAAAATAAATAATGACATTAAATCTTTACGTAAGTGTTATAAACTTAAACTCGTGCTGACAAAACTTCCAACATGTACAAAATATCTTCTATTTATAAAAAGGCCGATCCAAAACTAAAAGACGTAGTAAATAAGAAAGTAAGCAAATTTTAAAAAATCATGATATTTTGAATAGAATCAAGATGAACGGAACTGCTGATTGTTTTATAACTTTAAAAGACCATAAAACCAACTTTCTAAACATCTCTACTGTGCGTCTTTTAAATCCTGCAAAAAATGAGGTAGGAAGATTGTCAAAGCTTATTTTATCCAATACCAACTCGGAATTAAGAACCAGGCTCTGTTTAAACCAATGGCAAAATACACAGAATGTAATAAAATGGTTCCGAAAAATTGATGATAAAGACCTTTGTAAATTTTTAGTATTTGACATAATTTTTTTTCATCAATTGATGAAAACATACTTAATAACGCTATTACTTTCGCCGAACAACATATTATAAAAGACGAGCAAAACAAATCCATTATACGTCATGCAAGAAAATCTTTCATTTTTAACGGTGGAATATCATGGATAAAAAAAAAAGCATGATTGTTTGATGTTACCATGGGAACCTATGATGGCGCTGAAGTTTGCGAATTAGTCGGGATTTTTATTTTAGATCATCTTTTGCAGTTTTACAACAAAAATAATTTCGGTTTGTATCGAGATGACGGCTGTTTTTAAGAACAAAAATAGTCATTAAATGGAACAAATAAAAAAGCATGTCGTTCAAGTTTTTAAACTTAACATCTCTTTCAATGTTAAAATTGTTAATTACCTTAAATTAATTTTTAATCTTACTCAGAATTTATTTCAACCTGCAAGCCTGCAAGCCTGCAAGCCTGATAATAAGCTAAGTTATATACATGCTGATTCTAACCATCCACCTAACATAATAAACAATCTATATATATCAATATCATAATAAAAAATATTAAGCTAAGATTGTCTGCCAACTCATAAAGTGAAGTTATTTTTAATAAACCGACACATATTTATGAAGACGCACAAAAGCAATCGGGATACACTAATAAGTTGGCATATATATACAGTCTTGGAAAAACGTTTAAGACCACCACGTATAAATGCTATAATTTAGTGCCTAAAATAAAATTGAGCGTGTATAAGATTTTATTTGGCATTCATAGCTAGTTAACACAATTTCCCAACTTATATTAAATAATCAAAAAATAATTTCCCAGTTATTTTTCGTACTGTTATAATTTTTTCATTAAACTTTAAATTTTTCGCAAGAGGTCTTAAATAAGGTCTTGCTACATTTAACTACCCAAGCTAAAATGGAACTCAATGCTATTCAAAAGTACATTTCCAAATTTGACTACATTTTGATGTCATCTATCTGAATAAAGCTACTCTAAATGATTCATCAGACAAATCTAATCATCGAGGAACGCCAAGTTACTCTTGATGTTAAAAAGGATAAGATTGAAAAGCTATGTAATGACATTCAAAGGTTGCGTGGACAATTTGATAAGATTTTAACTCAAATTTGAGTCAAAATTTGTTGCAAGAAATATTGGTGTTTCATGTGAGTTTTTAACTAATCCTCATTTCCCAAATCAAGATGATGCCGAGCTGTATTTTAAAATCAATGTATATATTCTCATTATTGACTCAATTAAATCTGGCCTCACGCGACGACTTTAGCCGTAACAAGAGTTGTGTAAATTTTTTGGACTTTTATGGCAGCTTAAAAATTTGAATGACGTAGATTTGTATTGGCTGCTCAACATTTTCAGCATAAATATGACAAAGAAATCTCACAAGAACTAGAAAATTAGGTTTAATTTTTAAAAGAATCTATGGTGTTAATTTTAAACTAGACTGCACGCCAAAAAAGTTGCTGGAGGAAATTCTTGGACTTGTCTTTCAGGTGTTTTTCCAAACATTACAATTGCATACGCATTTTTATCAGCTTTCCTGTATGGACGACTTCGGGCGAACGGACACTTAATATTTTAAAGCAGATAAAAAATTATCATCGTTCAACTATGAGGCAGGAACGGTTGAATGGAGTTGCTATGCTGAATATAAATTGCGGTATTGCATGAAAACTGGATTTTTCAAATATAATTGCTGCATTTTCAGAACAAAAAGCAAGAAAAGCGTTTAGGAAAAATAAATAAAAATTTATTCTGTTTTAATTACATTAAGTGAATTTCTTTAAATTTTATTTTCAAAATGTGAATTATTATTATTTTATTTTATTTTAACATTAATTAATTATTTAACTATTTATTTATAGTCATTTGCAAATAACTTGTTGAAAAAAACCAATAAATAAAAATCAATGAATATTTTTTTATGTATGAATCATACATTTGTGAAACTTGAATTGTAACATTCACAATAAAGTAATAGTGTAACACTCCACTCGTATGGTTGTACTTTTCAAATTCCCAGGCCTCCCTAAGAAATGTGTAGTTAATAGACTAGCGCATTTCTTGGCTAGTTGGTTTGATAAAACGCACAAAAAGCGCCACAATTGTGAGTAACGGTCTGTCTAATTAATTGCATTTATTCTAAAAGTTGCACATTTATCTGGTCCCGAACCATATCTGGTTGTGAGCCCTCATCTCAATATTATAATGGATTCTGACATTATCCATCACCAGGGTGAATAAAATGTGTGTATAAAAAATATCTAAAAAAATATGGTTTTGCATCCATTAAAAACAAACATGACATCCATTTAAATTTAAATTAAATTTCATTAAATTAAAATAAATTAATATAATATTAATAAAATAAATTTATATAATATTAGATAAATAAGTAAAGAAAACCTTTTTTTTTTTAATAATATAGAATGTTGGGATTGCGCATGCATTAAATGTTTTAATTGAAAATTACGACTGTTTTAATTGATTGTCACGTGTTTTAAATGAATGTCATGATTGTTTTAAATGGATGTAAAAACCGGTATGTATATTAGAGTGCAGTGAAAAAATTAAAAGTGGTATATTTATATGTAATAGCAAGAAAAAGTTGTCTTTTGGTAAGTGTTCAAATTGAAAAAAAAAATTCAAAAATTTCAATGTCTTCAGCTGCCTCATACCTATGAGGCAGCTGAAGACATTGAAATTTTAAACAAAATTACTAAAAAGAAGTATTTTTAATTTGAGTGACAATTGAGTGTTTTAGTCATTTTTTTTTTTTTTATTAAAGATTATACTTTTTTGTCAAATTCTTTCAGAAAAAACTGTAATAATTAAAAATAATGACATATATGTCATTCTTTTTTATCTAATATGAACATATTTCGATGACCTTTTAAGGTTATATATATTTCAGGGCGTGACACTTTCGTGGGGAAAAGGGGGGCGGGTTGGGATCAATGCATTAAAAAAATTTAAAATGTCAATAAGTACTACTTTAAATACCGACTTTGTAAAAATAAAAAAAGGTCTTTTTGAAAATAATTAGGGGACATGGTCCTCTGCGCTTCTTCTTCTCCTACCTCTCTCAGTCACTGTGGCAGATTAGCAAGTTAGTAAGTCAGCAAATCTATAACAAGTTAAAGGGTGAAACAAAAATATCTATTCATTAATTATTTTA